GTGAGGGGACTGGAGAAGCCCCACCGGTGCGTGGTGGCCTGGGACTCCAGCTGGCCCGGTTTGCCCTGATCCACTTGCTGCCGCTTGGGCTCTGGCGTTCTCATGGCAGGGTGTCTCAGGTGCCGGCACTGCTGTTTTCGGGGCTTTCCCATCCATAGTTAACTGGCCTGGAGGTTGGCATTGCTCCGCCGGCCGAGGAGCCAAGCTGCAGCTAGCACCTCCTGCAGGTCGCGCTGCCTGCAGCCCAACCCAGTCCCTCACCTTCCTGCCCCCTTCTTGCATGCTGGCCTGCCACATCTCCCCAGGGAAGGGCAGGGCAGGGGGGCTCCTCCTGGGGCCAAGAGCTGCCCCTGCTGCACTTCCCCAGGCTCTGACAGATGGTTCCAGAGCTGAGCCACCGAGAGGGCACCTGCAGCACCAGGACCTTGCACCCAATCCCTGGCTCCCTTGGGCCCTAGCTTGGCATGATGCCCTTAAATCATCCCCTAGCTTGAGCACTGTCTCAGCCCTGGTGGGGGGCGGGGGGGAGACATGCCATGCGGGCTCCGAAGCCCTGCGTCTCCAGGCCTATTCGTAACACGGCTTGGTGATGGAGGTTGGCTGGCCCCACCACTGTGGGGGAGCCCTGGAGAGCATGAGCAATGGGGGCTGTGCGCTGCAGCCTGCCAGTCCTGGGCTAGCAAGGGGAGTGTGCCATGGGGTGCACGCCCAGGGACCGTGTGCATGCCCGGGAGCTGTGCCCCACGCATACAGTCATCCATGGGAGAGTGAGACCCCCTGGGGGAGCACTGGGGATGGCCCGGCTGAGACATGTGGTAGTGGCTCCTGGAGTCAAGGGCCAGGGCCTCACGCCTGTGGTTACGGTGTCAGTTGCCTGCACCCTGGGGCCCCACCGGACAGCACTGTTGACTCAGCATGTGACTTATCATGCCATATTGGTAAAGCTTGAGCTCAGCAGATGGATGGTTTCCCCCGATTGTTGTTTTCTGCAGGAAAGCCACCCCTTAGGAACGGGTTTTCTGGGGGCTCATGGATTCAGCATGTTGGTTTATTTCACAGTTTGAAGAGATTGAGACATTTAGCCCTTAACATATTTAAGCAGATTTATTTTTAGAAAGAAAAAGTTCTAATTTGAGCAACAAAACCAGAAATCTGTTTTCAATGAAATAGTCCTGTTTTTTCCCCCAAAATATCAGTTTTTTATCCACCTGGGAGCATCTGGTCCCCTCCCCCACTACAGCTTCCTGGCCTGGGGCAAGGAGCTGCCCTCTCCACTGTGCAGAGAGGGTGCCCAGGAGTCAGTGTCTGGGGCTCCCGCCCCCCTGGATCCCTCTGTCCTGGCGCTGCGCAGGGCGATGGGGACTGCAGTGGGGCCCTGACCTCTGTCTCCATCCATTGCAGGGCTGAAGCCACTTTGATGTAGGGCCCCGAGGTGGCGATTTTTTGGCCTGCAGGTTTGACTGGCAGCAGGCCCCCATGTCCAGTGTGGGGAACAGAGCCTTTCCCCTCTCAAGGCGCTGGCCAAGCGGCTGGCCCCGAGCTGGAGGAGGCTGGGCCCTGTGTGTGCTGCTCCCTGCTGGCCAGCTGGGCTGGGAGCATGGTGTGCTGGGCTCCCCCTCCCCCCTTTGGCAGCAGAGCGGCCGCTGACAGCTGTGTACGCCTCGTGTCTCCGGGCCCGCTGCGGCTCTGGCCAGCCTCACTGAGCCCCTCCAGACAGGCTGAGGAATGAGCCACTGGGACGGGAGGGGTGTTCGGCCTAGCGCTCCCTGCGCTCTGCCCTGATCCCAGCTGCCAGAGCCCCCTCGGGCCCCGCAGTGAATGGGGTGGGCCTGTGGGACGTCCTGGGCCAGCCTTGGGGGGGAGCCGGTTCTGTCAGGGGGTCCAGTCTGCCCAGGCCAGACAGGAGGCTATGGCCTGGGGACAGTACTGCCCGTTCCTGCCTGCAGTGCCACGACTTCTCTATCGCCCCCTCCCGGGGCCGGGTTCAGCTTGGCCTCCTGGCTGGGTATGGGAGTGGGGGGGTCCCTGGCAGGACAAGGGAATTGCGCCCACTTCCTCCTGTCTCTGGCTCCAGTCGCCCCCCCCCCGGGGCTGGACTGGGCTCTGGGCCCCGTCCCTGCCTGTTCCCCTCTAGTGGTGGGCTCTGTGCTTGGCCCATGTCCCTGCAGCGAGGGCCTGTCCCTGCCAAAAGGGACGTATGGTCCCCCTAGCATGGGGGGTTGAGTTGGTGTGACTGTGTCTATCAGAGGTGTGGATATTTCACAGTTACAGCCATAGGGGTCTATAGTGCAGGCCTGCCCGAGTACCTGTGTCTGTCACTCTCTGGGGACAGCCTGTGTCCCTGAGCTCAGTCACCCGACACCGGGCATTGTCCTTCGCAGAGCCCTGCTGAGCTCCCTGCTCCCTGGCTGGAGCTTGCTGCTGGTGGGTGTCAGATGTCCAGTCCTGGGGGTTCCCTGAGTCCTCTTTGATCTCAGTTCCTTCTAGGCAGGCTTCATGACCCCAGTGAGGGGGGACCGAGACATCTCAGTCTCCTGCTCCTCCCCAGGAGCACTGTACCCTTCTGTACTTGCCCAGGGTACCCACCTGGCAGCTCAGTCAGTCACTGCCGGGCACAGCGTTCATTGGAACATCACAGAAAGTGCCTTGTTGGTCACAGGGGCTCTCAGTGGGGCGCTGCGGCTGTGGGCTCTCAGTGGGGCACTGCGAGCCGGGCTGTGGGGCGCTGGGGCTGTGGACTCTCGGGGGCGCTGGGGCTGCAGACTCTCGGGGGGCGCTGCGAGCCGGGCCGTGGGGCGCTGGGGCTGCGGGCTCTCGGGGGGCGCTGCGAGCCGGGCCGTGGGGCGCTGGGGCTGCGGGCTCTCGGGGGGCGCTGCGAGCCGGGCCGTGGGGCGCTGGGGCTGCGGGCTCTCGGGGGGCGCTGCGAGCCGGGCCGTGGGGCGCTGGGGCTGCGGGCTCTCGGGGGGGTGCTACTCCCAGTGCCACATCAGTACTAGGCAGTTACAGGATGAATGGTTCTCCCACCTGGATATGTGGGGCCGGGGCCAAATCCTGTTTCAGGGTCAGTGATGTCTTTGCCTGGCCAGGCTGCTGCTCCCACTGCCACCCTTTCTTTAGGAGAAAGCCCAGTGGGCGACATTTCAGTGACATCTCTCGAGAGGTTCAGGTTCCCAAAAGGGCTCTTAAGGATGCCACATCAGTGGTGGCGGGAAGTTTTCCAGTCAGTTCCCCCCATTGTGCATCTGGGGTCCGTTCTTCCTTTCCCAATATGACCCCTAAGTATTTTACCTCTTGCTGTACCAGCTGGGCCTTGGCTCTGCTAGCCTGGAGTCCGGTATCTTGGATGATCTGTAACATCTGCTCAGTGATCCTACCAACCTCCTCCCTGTGGTCCCCATGCACCCGGATATCACCAACGTAGGAAATGACCTCTCTGGGCTTCAGCTGTCAATTTTCCCCACATCTTAACCACATGGGAGGGACAAATTGGGGATGCGTTATGAAAACTCTGGGGGACCCTTGTGTTGTCCCCTGTAAGTGAACCCAAATTTGTACCAGGACGCGGGGCGCACGGGAATGGCAGAGGAGGCATTTGCTAAATCTGTTACTGAGAGCAACTGTGCCCCTGCTGCTGCTGCAGCGACTTCTTGGTACTTAGCCACAACCAGAGCAGTGGCCGGGGTTACTGCGTTTAATGCTCTAAAACCCACTGTCATTCGCCAGGTCTCCCCTCCCCTTTCGGTACAGGCCAACTGGGCAGTGTTAGTACTTGCCATGTGCCCAATAACACCCTGTTCTAACAAACTTTCTGTGGTAGATTTTATCCCTTCCGCTGCCTCCTGAGGGTACGTGTATTGACGTTGTGGAGGGGGGTCAGGCCCTTGGATTAAAACCTCAGCATCAATTTCCCCACACTCCAGTTTATTTTCAGCCCATACCCCAGGAAACTTGTCCACCCATGGGTCCCCTTCTTCTGCTTGCCCTCCTTCTGGTGCCTTTACACATGCTCACCTATGTACAGCAGTAATGGAGGGGTGGATGTTTCTGCTGGCCCGTCACTATTTGCCCATAGGAACCCGTCAGCTAAATCCACAGTGCGTCTCCCCTTGTTAAGGTAAAATGTTCCCAGTATTCCATCCTCCTCATTCCTAGTTTGATCCTACTTAGAATCATAGAATCATAGAATATAAGGGTTGGAAGGGACCCCAGAAGGTCATCTAGTCCAACCCCCTGCTCAAAGCAGGACCAATTCCCAGTTAAATCATCCCAGCCAGGGCTTTGTCAAGCCTGACCTTAAAAACCTCTAAGGAAGGAGATTCTACCACCTCCCTAGGTAACGCATTCCAGTGTTTCACCACCCTCATAGTGAAAAAGTTTTTCCTAATATCCAATCTAAACCTCCCCCACTGTAACTTGAGACCATTACTCCTCGTTCTGTCATCTGATACCATTGAGAACAGTCTAGAGCCATCCTCTTTGGAACCCCCTTTCAGGTAGTTGAAAACAGCTATCAAATCCCCCCTCATTCTTCTCTTCTGCAGACTAAACAATCCCAGCTCCCTCAGCCTCTCCTCATAACTCATGTGTTCCATGTGATGAAGTGGGCCTGTTCTTAATGTTTCCTCTGAATAGTGTGGGGGTGCCTCAGTTTCCCCTATGCAGTTCTTAAGTATCTAGGTGGTGGGGTAAGGGTGTATGATCATTGCAGAGCCCTAGAGGGCAGGTGTGTGCAGGGATCTGGACACAGAGAATGGCCGACACCCTGTTTCCTGGCAACTGATGGCCTGGGCCCTTCCCCCCCTGCAAGGTGAGAGCTGAAGGGTTGGAGAACAAAGGAATCAGGTGACCACCTGGCCCGGGAAAGGAACAAAGCCCAGAGGAGGAGGGGCTGGAGGGGTTTTCAGTTTGGGGCTGGCTGGGACATGGAGTGAAGTGCAGACGTGGTTGTCTGGCTCACTGCCCCCAAAATGGACCCAGCTGAGGGGTCCCGTTCTCTGCACCTGCAAGCTCTGTTTTAGACCATGTTCCTGTCGTCTAATAAACCTTCTGTTTTACTGGCTGGCTGAGAGTCACGTCTGACTGCGAAGTTGGGGTGCAGGACCCTCTGGCTTCCCCAGGAGCCCCGCCTGAGCGGACTCGCTGTGGGAAGCGCACGGAGGGGCAGAGGATGCTGAATGCTCCGAGGTCAGACCCAGGAAGGTGGAAGCTGAGTGAGCTGCGTGTCCTGAAGACAGGCTGCTCACAGAAAGGCGACTGCCCCAGAGTCCTGACTGGCTTCATGGGGAGCAGTTCCAGAGCATCGCCCAGGGACTCCGTGACAACTGGTGGCAGCGGTGGGATGTACTGCACCCCGTGGATGGCGCTTCCTGCAGTAAGTGACTGGGGAGCAGTAACACGAAGGGGGATTGCCGAGGACCAGGCCTGCTGAAGGCTCAGAAAGGAGCGGTTTCGGGGGCGGTTAACCCCTGGGAGTGTGTGACCAGCGAGAGGGACTGTGCAGTAATGGGGTCCCCCTGGGGACTGCAGTGAGCAGTCTCAGGGGCGGAGGAGTCTGCCGCTCGACCCTGGCAAAGAGGTGGTGACCTGGAGAAGGGCTGGCACACTAGGGGTTCTCCCTGGAAACCGTGGGGAGCTGAGAACACACGGACCTGTGAGTCCACAACAGCTTGGGAGGAGCGGAGTGACGGCCTGTCACCGTCTCCTTAAGAAGGACATTGTAACCCTGTGCAAAAAGAGAGGGTTGAGCTTTGGAAAGTTCACCAAAGCAGAGTTAATCGTGCAGCTGGAGGAGGATGACCGCTCTAAGGAACAGATTCCTGACCCCAACTGGGGCTATAGCAGGATCTGGGAGCAGCTGGAGTGGGAGCCAGGCATCGCCAAGACTCCTGTCCCCGACCAGACGAGGGTCTTCACGATCGGGTTCCCCATCGGGGGATCGAGACGGACGGGATTGGAGCTGAGTCCGAGAGAGCAAGAGGACCGTGGGAGACAGCGAGAGCCCGAGAAAGAGCTGCAGAAGCAGCAGCAGCATGAACTGGCGTTGGGGGAGCGGAGAGGCCTAGGGGACCTCCCCGGGGTGAGTGGGGATAGACCCCGGGGTGCCAGTTCCGCAGGGAACCTCGAGACTAAATTGCTGCCCCTGGTTAAGGATGGGGGGGAGGTGGATGCCCACCTCACTGCCTTTGAGCAGGCTGGCGATTTGAACCAGGGGGACCCTGCGGAAAAGCCCCGGTGTCTAGCTCCCTTGCTGGGTCCCAAGGCCACAGACTCCATCAGCCAGATGGGTGGGGAGGTGGACACGCTCCCACTCCTGACCTATATGTCTGTGTGGAGTTTCCTGGGGCCAGGCCCCTCGGACTCCCAGTGGGAGCAGAAGGTGATGGTGAATGGGGAGACATTCCTGGGGTGGCGAGATCCTGGGACAGAGAGAACTGGTGTCAGGCCCCGGGTGGTGCAGCCTCAGATGCTGAGGGGCTGTGTGAGCTGGGTGAGGGTCCCAGGGACGAAGCCCCTCGCCCTGCCTATGGCCCAGATCCCCGTGCAGACCCAGGAGGGGTGGGGCTGGCTGGTCGTTGGGGTGCTCCAGGACACCAGCTGCGAGACCCTGTTGTGGGGTGACTGTGTCTCTTTGGAACAGGATCCAGGCCCTGTTCCTGTAACTGCCAAGGGTTTGAATTTGAATCCAGGGAACCAATCGGCAGAGAGGGAATGGTCAGTGAAAATGCAGATGACCTGGCTGGCAGCAGGGAGGAGCCGCTAGGCTCAGGCTACCTGCCTGCCTGTAACCAGACCCCTGGGGCTGGGTGGGACAGAGAGATGCTCCCTGCCCCCTTGCACACCAGACTGGGGACTCTCGCTGGCTCTGATGCATTGAGGAAAGCAGTGGCCTGCCCCCACTGGGACAGCAAGGGCAGCGCTGAGCACAGTGGGAGCTGAGACCCCAGCTGAGGGGGGGGAGACACAGGCAGGGCAGGGGATCTGTGGGGAGTGGCAAGGTGCTTGGTAAGGAAAGTCTGGATGAGCCTAGGCAGCCTTGTGAGCTGATGGCTGTGTCCAATCAGCAGGGTGGGAAGGCGAGGAGAGTGGAAGATGAGAGTCCCTGGACCTTACCTGTTAGCTGGGTGGAGAATTGGGACAGTGAAGGAAATGGGTCTCTGTCTGTCAGGGGTATTGACTTGCCTATGGAGGGAGCTACCCTGATCTCCAAGCAGTTGTCTGTGACCAGCCTTGTGTGCTGGGACAAAGGGAATGAGATCCCAACCTGTGTGTCTGGTAAAGGAGAAAGTGTGTCCGGCTCTTCTTGGTCTGTGGAGCAGACAGAAGGGGCCTTTCAGCCTGTGATGGTTGAGGGTCGTGCAGTTGTCTCAGAGCTGGTTCTGGATTCAGCTAAAGCCCAGGAAGGGAAGGGTCCTAAGTTTCTGTCTGCTCGGGAGAATGGCCCTGTAACTAGGTCGCATCCAGTTAGGGTCTATGTAAAATCCCCGAGACCAGACAATTCTGGTGCTTGTATTTTGCCTGTTGCTAGTGTGTTGTTGGAAAGGGTGTAGCAACTCTGTCTAATCAGGGTGAGATCCTAGCCAGGGCACAAGGAGAGCAGGAAGGTGATGTGATTGTGGAACCTACTGAGGGTGTGGAAACCTGTAGCAAGAAGGAAAAGATTCCTGAACTTGTGTGTGGCAAAGGGAAGGAGAATGCTTCTAACCTTTTATCTAGGAAGTCTGTAAGTTTGCATGAAAGGGGATTGTGTAGGAATCCGCCTGATGGGCCAGAGGTGATTCTGGATGTAAGGGAGACCCAGAAAGAGTCTGTAGTTGCTCAGGAAAGTGTTCCCCTAGAGCAAGCCCTAGGTAAAGAGGGTAAGAGCAGAATTTCTGGGAGGGGGTGAATTGTTGCATAGAAAAGCCCTAGGGAAAGGAATCCTCATGGAGTCTTTGCAAGCAGTTTACTGCCACTGAAGGGTGTGAAAGTGATTTAATCAAGAAAGTTTCAGTTCCTAACAGCCAGAAATTTTCTGTTGTGAATGGATCCACTGACTTTCCTGTTGAAAGATCCAGTGTGGAGAGCTTTGAGAAGGTCTCAGATGGAGTGAAAGCTATTAAGAAAGGTATACCGTCCTATAACCAAGTGGCTGTGTTTGGCCAGCTTGTTGGGGAGACAAGGTTGTTGGGAAAGGGATGTCTCCATGCTAGTTCTGTAAGTGAACAGTATGTGGCCCAGGTCAAGATGGGGGCCCTTAACCAAGAGAGCCCGAATTGCAGCCCTCCAGACTGGAGCTCTGGGAGAAAACCCAATCCCAGTTTGACCCCCTGGGGTTTTGGGGTGGCCAAAGGGCATGGGCTGCAGAAACCTTCCCACATGCAGCCTGCTAGTGCTATCGACCACCCCCGACCTAAGGGAGGGCGTGAAACTGGAAGGGCCTGGTGTAACTCCTACCAAGGAACGGGAGAGATGCTGGGGCATCCATGGGAACATTGGTGGCTTCAAACTTCCCCAGGTCACCGGGTAAAGTGACCCCGCTCAGTTCGATCTCGAAGGGGGGAGAGATGTGATGAAGTGGGCCTGTTCTTAATGTTTCCTCTGAATAGTGTGGGGGTGCCTCAGTTTCCCCTATGCAGTTCTTAAGTATCTAGGTGGTGGGGTAAGGGTGTATGATCATTGCAGAGCCCTAGAGGGCAGGTGTGTGCAGGGATCTGGACACAGAGAATGGCCGACACCCTGTTTCCTGGCAACTGATGGCCTGGGCCCTTCCCCCCCTGCAAGGTGAGAGCTGAAGGGTTGGAGAACAAAGGAATCAGGTGACCACCTGGCCCGGGAAAGGAACAAAGCCCAGAGGAGGAGGGGCTGGAGGGGTTTTCAGTTTGGGGCTGGCTGGGACATGGAGTGAAGTGCAGACGTGGTTGTCTGGCTCACTGCCCCCCAAAATGGACCCAGCTGAGGGGTCCCGTTCTCTGCACCTGCAAGCTCTGTTTTAGACCATGTTCCTGTCATCTAATAAACCTTCTGTGTTACTGGCTGGCTGAGAGTCACGTCTGACTGCGAAGTTGGGGTGCAGGACCCTCTGGCTTCCCCAGGAGCCCCGCCTGAGCGGACTCGCTGTGGGAAGCGCACGGAGGGGCAGAGGATGCTGAATGCTCCGAGGTCAGACCCAGGAAGGTGGAAGCTGAGTGAGCTGCGTGTCCTGAAGACAGGCTGCTCACAGAAAGGCGACTGCCCCAGAGTCCTGACTGGCTTCATGGGGAGCAGTTCCAGAGCATCGCCCAGGGACTCCGTGACATTCCAAACCCCTAATCATTTTTGTTGCCCTTCGCTGGACTCTCTCCAATTTATCCACATCCTTCTTGAAGTGTGGGGCCCAAAACTGGACACAGTACTCCAGATGAGGCCTCACCAATGTCGAATAGAGGGGAACGATCACGTCCCTCGATCTGCTCGCTATGCCCCTACTTATACATCCCAAAATGCCATTGGCCTTCTTGGCAACAAGGGCACACTGCTGACTCATATCCAGCTTCTCGTCCACTGTCACCCCTAGGTCCTTTTCCGCAGAACTGCTGCCTAGCCATTCGGTCCCTAGTCTGTAGCTGTGCATTGGGTTCTTCCGTCCTAAGTGCAGGACCCTGCACTTATCCTTATTGAACCTCATCAGATTTCTTTTGGCCCAATCCTCCAATTTGTCTAGGTCCTTCTGTATCCTATCCCTCCCCTCCAGCGTATCTACCACTCCTCCCAGTTTAGTATCATCCGCAAATTTGCTGAGAGTGCAATCCACACCATCCTCCAGATCATTTATGAAGATATTGAACAAAACCGGCCCCAGGACCGACCCTTGGGGCACACCACTTGATACCGGCTGCCAACTAGACATGGAGCCATTGATCACTACCCGTTGAGCCCGACAATCTAGCCAGCTTTCTACCCACCTTGTAGTGCATTCATCCAGCCCATACTTCCTTAACTTGCTGACAAGAATACTGTGGGAGACCGTGTCAAAAGCTTTGCTAAAGTCAAGAAACACAGTACTTTTAGGAGGTACCCGGAGTAGGAGGTACCCAGAGTTGAAACAGGAGATTTTTCAAGCAGTTGTAGTTTTTTGAGACGCACAGGAAAAGGAAATAAGGACAGGAGAATGGAACCCGTCCAGGCAGTAACTTTTGCCAACAACAGGCCCCCAGATCTCCAAGGGGAGCTGGGGGAAAGGGCCAGATGCACTATTTAACACAGTTAAATACTTAGTTAAACACACTATTTAACACAGTTAAATACTTCTGAACACAGTATTTAACCCATGACTCCTGATTGCCTAGACGGGTCAGGATCAGTCTTGTGATAAATGCTTTCATTGTCTCCCCCTGTCTATGATACTAGTTGTGTTGAATTTTCTGTTTCCAGGGTCCCCGGGAAGCCACTGCTCTCCAAGCACAC